CTTACCAAGGCTTTATAAAGAGGGAATTAAGACTTCACGTGATCTTGATTCTATCCCTCTGTTTATGTAGCCTAGAACTGTGTTGGCTTTTTTGGCAGCTGCTGCACACGGCTGGCTGATCTTTAAATGGTTGTCCACTAGGACTCCAAAATCTCTCACATGTTTGGCTTTCCCCCAATGAAGGGGAATAGCAACAAGGATATACTAAATAATACTGTACTAGATGATGTCCTTGTATACTCGCATGCTGTGAGTATTTGTTTCCTGTAACACATATGTGCCATGCCTTTTGTTATGCCCCTTTGAGGTTGTAGCACAAATATGCCACATTAGGCATATTATGTTTTGTACTTCCTGCAACTAAGGCGGGGGGGGGGGGGGGCTGTCCTTGGGGTCTGTAAAGTACCTGGCATTTATCAAAAGATATGCCTCACCTTTGATCAGATCCTCCCCCTTCTGCCTAAGACTCTATCTCACCTTTGATCTGTTCCCTTCACAACAGGAGCCCAAATGGCCAATCCTGAGAACCAAGGAAAGAGATAAGGATGAAGGAGGTCATCTTGGAGGTCATTTAGTCCAACCCTGTAGGGCTAATGAGGAGCATTGTATCCTTTTCGCAGGCATACACAAATCTAATTAGGAAGCCAGGGTGTTATTTTACAACAAGTTTCTGGCTGGATAAAAAGGAGCTACACCTTCTCTGAAGTGTGGTTCCTCCCTGCATATCCTTGTTTGGAACAACTGGCCATCATGCCTTTAAACTTTGATCAAGGATTAAATGCTGATTGTTGATTCCAACCTCTGTCTAAAGTCTCATTTTTGGCTCATTGGGACTTGGGATGAGTTCTCAAACTTCCATGGGTCTCAACGTATTCTCAAACCTTTCCCCCCCGCTGGCTGGATTCACAAGACCCCTTTTCCTGGATTCCCCCCCTTTCTATCTGATCTCTGGCCACCCACCCTCACCTTCCCTGTCCAGAGGGTAAAGATGCCCTCAGCTAAGATGCTGAGCTTGTGGATCAGAAAGCTCAGCAGTTTGAATCCCTAGTATGAGTCCCCTGCCGTGAGCAGGGGGTTGGACTAGATGACCTCCAAGGTCCCTTCCGACTCCGTTACTGTTAACTGAACTCCGGCCAACCAATGAACCAATCATCCTTCCTCGCCCAGAGGGGGAAGACGCCCCCTTGCCAGGGTGCCCAGGCTGTGCCCGATGGGAGTCTTTGGAGTCTAACCAACCCATCATGTTTTTTCTGTCTGCTTTTGCTAAGTCCGCCCCCCACCATCAACTCTGCCACCCCAGTTATAGCAAATAGCTTCATCACAGCCAGAGACCGGCTCATTAATTAACCCTAGAACACAATTCCCAGAAGCCCCAGCTGCTCACTGCCGGGAATGATGGGTAGGGGAGTTTCTCATCAGCCTACCTCAAGCTTAGATATATGCAGGGTGGGGTGGGGTGATGAGCATCCTGAAAGCCCATGCTACGGTTTCCATAGCAACCAACCCGGGTTTTTTTTTGGGGGGGGGGGTGTTCCTTGGCCAACTAACTACCCAAGCGCCGTTTGGAGTACACGTGTTGGCCTCCCCTCCCGCCCACCGCTGCATTCATACGACCCACTTCCTGACTTCACCCCCCTTTCTGACTAGTGGCTAAGATGCTGAGCTTGTCGATCAGAAAGGTCGGCGGTTCGAATCCCTAGAAGAGGGACCCCTGCTGTGAGCAGGGGGGGGTTGGACTAGATGACCTCCAAGGTCCCTTCCGACTTTGTTACTGTTAACCCATCTCCGCCCAACCAACCAACTAACCACCTTTCCCCGCCCGGAGGGTGAAGATGCCCCCCTGCCAGGGCGCCCAGGCTGTGCCCGATGGGAGTCAGCCCCCTGGGGGGCCCGCCCCATAACAAAGGGCCTCCGGCTCCCGGCTCCTCCTTACCGCTCTTCGCTGGGCTCCGATCCTCTCGCTCGGGGCGGGAGGGGGGAAGGGGAAGGAGGGCAGCTGGGCGCCGGCTTCTCAACCCGCCGGCGGCGCCTGGTCGTCTCCCTTTCAGACGCGGCTGCCCAACTCCGGCCACCGCGACCCTCCAAGATGGCCGCCCAGGGCAGGCCCAACTAAAGGCCGGCTTCCCTGCTTTCCTTTCGCCACTTCCGCTTCCGGCGAGGGAGGGGAACTTCCGGTTGGGATGGTGGGAGGGGGGGAAGGGGAAAGAAGGGCGGGTTGCCATAGAGTGACGCGGAGGGAGGGCTAGAGTGACGCCCAAGAGCGTGACGTTTGTCGTCCTCATGTCGTCATCGGCTTTTTTTCCAGGGCGGAGCGTTCTACCCCTCCCCCCTGCTCACATCTCATTCGTTGGAAATGCTTAGTGTATGCGCGTGCGCGGGGGGTGGAGGCCGCTCGAGGCCCTTTGGTCCTTTCTTTTCCCGCTCTTGGCTGGGCCGTTGCCGTGGAAACCGCCCGGGATGAAGCGAGCCGGTCCAGACAGCGCCATGTTATGAAGCGGGTGGGGGAGGGTGGGGTTGTCCCCAAACCTGTCAACTTTAAGACTGGTGGACTTCAACTCCCAGAATTCTCCAGGCAGCAATGCTGCCTGGAGAATTCTGGGAGTTGAAGTCCACCAGTCTTAAAGTTGATAGGTTTGAAGACCTCTGCTATGGAGGAACACACAAAAGTTTTCCCCCTCAGCTACCATAAGGGTCTCCCACCTCAGAAGTCGAGAACAAACTATATTTAATACCTAGCATTTGTTCCAATAAGTAGCAAAAATGGATCTTTTCGGCTGCCCACACCTGGAAAATTTTGCAAAGTGACCCAACACCAATTTTACTTGAAGGTGCCTGTGAGGCCTCAGAGCATCTTTTTCAAACTTTTTTTTAAAAAATTGTTAACAAGTAACTGACGAAGGTAACTCCATAGAAAGAAGAAAAGTTTTCAATAGAAAATAGAAAACATAAGTCAGGAGTGTTACCTTGAGGGGGGCTCTGTTATAGTTTAAGTAAAGTCACTGAATAATGTAACTCCAAACTATATTTAATATTTGTTCCAATAAGTAGAAATGAATCTTTTCGACACCCACACTCAGAAAATATGCTATTTTACTTGAAGGTGCCTGTGCTGCCTCAGAGCTTCTTTTTCAAACTTTTTTTTAAATTAATTGTTAACAAGTAACTGAATAATGTAACTCCATGATGCATAGAAAAAAAGGACAGTTTTCAATAGAAAAACATATCGGGACTATTACATTGAGGGCGTCTGTTATAATTTAAAATATAAAAAATGGTTGCAGAAACTAGGTATGTCTAGTTTGATTAAAAGAAGGACTAGGGGAGCCAGGATAGCAATGGGTACAATTGCTTGAGCAATCATAATCCACATATTTGTTATTATACTTGTCATAATAATATTAATATAACTATATATATTATAATATAACTATATTAATATAATTAATCATACATAACATCTTCATCGTCATATTCTCTCCACGTTGACATTTCCTCTTTTTTATATCTCTCGTTGATAAAATACATCCCACATCAAAAAAATATTCAGTTTCTTCTTTATCCTTAATAATAAGAGTTAGTCTGTCCATTTCTGTGCATTCTGGTATTTTCTTGATTACATTCTCATCTGACGGAATCTCATCCTTTTTCCATTGCTGTGCAAATACAATTCTGGCTACAGTTAGTATACGTAAAACTAGATATAGCGTCTTTTTTATCATATTCTCCGGTAGAAGGCCCAAATATCTCTGGTTTCAAGTCTATATGCTGCTTTATCATTTTTTTCCAACCAAGTGTGTATTTTCGTCCAATATTTTTTAAGCTTTGGGGCAAGTCCAGCACATATGTATGTAGAAACCCAGTGTTGATTACACTTCCAATATTTAGCAGATCTATCTTTATACATTTTGGCCAATCTTGCCGGTGCAAAATGCCATCTGTAAAGCATTTTGTACACATTTTCTTTGGATGCAGTTGACAAAGTCATTTTAATATTTCTATCCCATAGTTTCTGCCATTTATTTAATTCTATTGCATATGCAAAGTTTCTAGCACGGGCATTTCTAAATTAGTTCTACATTTCTATGCAGAGCATTAATGTAAGTAAATACCCGAGTTTGCTACCCTATGGGTAGCAATTAGCTTGGGCAATCAGCTCCTCCCTCCCTCCCCACTCTTCTGCCACCCTACCTACCTATCTACTTTCCTTTCTACTACAAAAGGCCCATTTAGTTGCGTTGGCCTAATATGACAATCATCTTTCAGGATAAAGAGGCATCCATCAAACTCAAGGTAGCTTACCGAAAACGCCTTATTTCTCACCACTATCCAGCTCACCCCTTGGGATAGCTAATGCTGCTTGACAAGTTACAGTCATTTCTCTGGTATTTTAATACTGCTATTAAGTGATCCACGTGCATTGCTAGGGCAGCCAGGGCTCATTTTAAAAAAAGATTTCAACACATCTTGTTTTCTCCCGCATGCAGATTAATCAAACTATAGGATCAGGGATCACTCCTCTTCCCAAAGGGAGGACGAAACTCCCCAGATCTGCCAAGCTATTTTGACAATGGATGCACTTCGCCAAGGCAGAAAAGAACCTAAGGATTTGTCCTTTCCTTCTTCAGGGATCCATTCCAGCTGCAGAGTTTTGTCCCCTTGACTGGCATGGAGTCAAAGCTGAAGGTAAGCAAAATATTGCTATAATTCAACTAAATTCTCCTTCAGTTTGAGCTCAACTCCTGAGGAATTCATGGATTACAATGGTGATTCTTATTTAAACATTGGTCTACTGGTTCTTTCTGCTGAAAAGAATCCTCCCACAGCAAAAACGGCCTTTCAGATTTTGACTCAGATAAAATTTTAATCAAAACATTTCAATAAGTTAAATATAAACTAAATATTTATCGACTGGGTGACACCCTCACAGATATTTCCACATCCCAAATCTTTTCCAGTGAAACGAGTGCACTAAGAGGTCATTAGCTTTTGTTCCACTGAAAGAAATGGGGAGCAAAAATTAAGAGGACCGATGTGAGGTGGCACATCTTGGGTTGCTGATGGATGCCGTACCGTTCTGTGGTTTTGTTTTCTGCTTGTCGTTTCAACATTAGTGTATTCCTAGGCACGATGGACGCTGAGCTTGTCGATCAGAAAGGTCGGCAGTTCGGCAGTTTGCATTGCTAGCGCCGCATAATGGAGTTGACTTGTCCCAGCTTCTGCCAACCTAGCAGTTCGAAAGCAGGTAAAAAATGCAAGTAGAAAAATAGGGACCACCTTTGGTGGGAAGGTAACAGCATTCCATGTGCCTTCGGCATTGAGTCATGCTGGCCACATGACCACGGAGACGTCTTTGGACAGCGCTGGCTCTTTGGCTTTGAAACGGAGATGAGCACTGCCCCCTAGAGTCGGGAATGACTAGCACATATGTGTGAGGGGAATCTTTATCTTTTCCTTTAAGGACTCCATGTATACAGGACAAGCCTCTTAGCGATAAGGCTGATACACAGCTAATAGGACTTGATTTGGCTAAAACGGAAGGATTAAAGGGTGAGATCCGGGGGATTTACGTGCGAAGGGAAACTTTACCTTTCGACATAGTGGAAAAGGCAGGAGAATAATGTCCCAAAGATGCTTTTTCAAAAGACCAACCGAACTTTGGTTTTCCTTGAAGCCGTTTCACTTCTCATCCAAGAAGCTTCTAGGATGAGAATTGAAATATATTCAAGGGGAAAAATGTTCAGTTGCCTTTTGAAGAAGCACCTTTGGGACAACCATGACCTGGATGACTGAAAACCTCCCCAGGCAAGGGGAATAATCAGGCTTTTATATCCTGTTGCACAAAGTGGGAATTGCATGTGCCCTTGGTTCTGTTAAATGTTCCCTCACTGAGTGAGCTGGAGAGCTTCCTCTTCTTGATTTTCTGGTCGTTGCCTCAACAGGCCCTTTCCAAGGTAATTTTTGGGTAGGGCCTTAGTATAAATCCTGAAACTGCCAATCCTGAATTTAAGTTGTTTAATTGCTGGAAGAAAGAGGAAAGGTGGTTAGCTACAGCAAGCACACGAGTCATGCTGTGCAGATTAGCTCCCAGGCATCAAACAATATACCGTATTTTTCGGAGTACAAAATGCATCTTCCCACACACACACACCTCTAAAAGCATTGGTGCGTCTTATACACCGAGAACAGCCATTTTTGGCCTCCAAAAGCCCTGCCCCCACATCCCATTTTTGCAAAAAAATGACCCATTTTTTGCAAAAACGGAGGCGTTTTTGCTTTCCCCCAGCCCTCAGCAGCACTCTGTAGGCTTCAGATCATTAAATTTGGTGGGAGAAACTTCACTTGGTTTGGTTTTCTTTCGTTTCGTTTTTGAGCACCAAGCTAACGTAACACAGATAGGCACCGGGCCAGGAGATAAAAGCGACAGTCAACCCAAACGTCAGGATATTTAAATAAGGCAAAAGTCCCAAATGTAAACGAATTAATCAGAACGGCGTTTCATAATTCGTCAAAACATTTCATAATTCTTGAAGGCCGGCTGGAGTCACCGAGAGCTTTTCAAGTTTGCTGAGTCAGGTTGGCAAAACTACAAGGGCCCCTTCTTCGCATTTGTTTAGTTATCAGCGGTGAATCAGCAGAACTAGGGAAGTAACAGATCTACGGATATCCAAGGGAACCTGGGTTTTTTTAAAAAAAAGCATCAGATGGCATCAGAACAAAGGTCATTTTGTCTGGCACCCTTTTTTTAAGGTCAGTGCGATGCCAGCCACATGCTTTCAAGTGCTCAACAGGTAGGTTGAACAACAATCTTTTTTGAGATTGAAATGCTTTTTAAGAAAACTTTGGAAGGCTTTCAGGATACAGATGCCAAGAGCCCTTACTTTTTTTTTAATAAAAGTTTTTTTTTCTTTTCTTTTTTTACAATTATATCAAATCAATGTGTAAACAGTGTGGCCCCTGTGTGTCTTACATTCTATTACAAGCAAAACTAATAAAGTTAATCACAATTCTTACATTCAATCGTCTTATATTTTTCTAATAATGATGCACATTTATATTATGTTGCA